TTGACGTTTCTTGGTACTATGAAAATGGCCATGGAAGCCACCCTTTTTTTTCTTTTTTCTTTTTTGTAATTTTTTTTTAAATTAATTTTACCTGCTATTACCTTGTGTTTACATGCAAATTGAGCTAATTGTACAAATTTAAAAAATAATAGACTTAATTATATACAAGTAAAGAAATAAAGGGTCTAATCGGAACTTTTATTAGTTTATGGGCTAATTGCATTTTGGCTTATAGTTGAATGCCTATTTGACCCTTATCCCTTGTTAATATTAGTATTACTTCTTTTTTTTTTTTTTTTGATAACATATTAGTATTACTTAATCATTTGAATTTTAATTTCAAAAGGCAATCAAAAGATGCCAACATTTCCAAAATTAAACTCTTAAAACCCTAAAGTTTAACTATAATAGCATAATAATGAGTGATGTGCGCTACATTCTTACCTAAGGCTATCCTTATCTTGCAAGTGTATCTCACTTAATTTTAAAAGTAAGTCTTACACCCACATCATCAAATTTAAAATTATTTCACTATTTTTTTTTATATTCTTTCGTGCAATACTTTTTCACTTTCAAAAACGGTCCACCTTCATATCAAAATTATAAATTCATATATTTTACAATAAATAAATACATATATTAAAAATAAAATATTTTTTTTAAAAATAGCTTTTGATGCTAAATGGCAGCTAACCGTAAAAATAGTGGGTTAAAAGGTTGCTAAACCGTGGCAATAAAAAAAAAAATTTGTTGCCACCTCACCTAGCAAGTTTATAACCATTCGTTATGCTATGGACCCGTGTCCAGCATGCATTGTGGACACGGTAACGGTGTCGTTAGTGGCACCGTTATATTCCACCATTTTTTTAAAAATTTCAGACCGCTTCGTTATAGGAGCATATGTTCATAATTTTATCACTATATGTTCATAATTATAAGTTCATAATGTCAGAGCTCTGCGTTCATAATTCCATAACTGTACATTCATACTTCCATAACTGTACATTCATAATTCGGTAACTGTATATTCATAATTCCGTAACTGTAAATTCATAATTTTCGAAGCTCTATGTTCACAATTTTAGAGCTCTATGTTCATAATTTTATAACTATATGTTCATAATTGTAAGTTCATATTGCCAGAGCTCTGTGTTCATAATTCCATAACTGTACATTCATACTTCCATAACTGTACATTCATAATTCCGTAACTGTACATTCATAATTCCGTAACTGTAACTTCATAATTTTTGAAGCTCTATGTTCACAATTTTAGAGCTCTATGTTCATAATTTTATCAATATATGTTCATAATTGTAAGTTCATAATGTCAGAGCTCTGTGTTCATAATTCCATAATTCCATAATTGTACATTCATAAGTCCATAACTGTAAATTCATAATTCAATAACTGTACATTCATAATTCCACAAACGAATAACGTCGTTAACGCCGTTAATGGCGAGACAAAATCAGAATTTTTTTTAACTGGAATACCACGTTTCCCTAAAAACGACGTCGTTTTGGACTCGTGTCCACAATGCATTGTGGACACGAGTCCACAGCATAATTTGCGGTTTATAACTTGTTGGGTTGAGGTTACCCTTAGATACCAATTACTTGACCCTTTTTTTTTATTACCATATATATATATATATATATATATATATATGATCAAATTAGGATACTTTCTTACATGAGAATTGTGGATGAATCATGGACGTTGATTAAGGTTGATATGTGGATGAGATTTGTTCTTTCTTTTGTTATGAAATGTCACGCGGTGGTAGGATTGGGGTTTTTTTGGTCTTTTGTTTTATTTTTCATACATGGTTATAATTATTTTAGGATCATTTACTTTTTTAAAGAATTAGTATTTAAGGTAAGCTTGGATTTTCTCCTAAATTCCTCTGTTGATGATTTTTATGTTGTGTCACATTTCTGCTTTGCGTTATTATTGCCGGGAAAATTTTTGGGTTCGCCGACATTTATTTTTTTATGTCCCGCTTTTGTGTGTTTTTTTATTTTCCGTATGTGTAATGGTGTCGCCAAGTACGTATTCTCTATCAGCTTAAAACTTTAAGTCTTTGTAATGATTTTTTTAATTTCTTATCTTTCAGTTTATAAAAACTTTAAGAGTGGGTTAGTGCTAGAGGATGAGAACATTGTTTCATAAATGGGAATTTGAGGTGGTTATTCGTGTGTTTCATTGTAACTGGGTAATCAAGGATAGATGTGTAAATGGTGGGACTGTGCATTTCGGCGTGTTCATTCTGTGTAGGTGGGCTTGGTAGATTCTGAAATGTGTTGCTGGGATGTGTGTGTTTGTTTTGTTAGGTTGGTCTAGATGTCATGGGAGTAGCCTCCGTCGTGTGGTGTTATTTTTTGCCTTGCAGTTGTGTGCGTTGTTGTTTACTGTGATTGTGCATTTATGGCATGCGACTGTATTTACTAGTGTTGTGTGTAGTTGCTTTTGTTTTTTCTTTTGTCATGTTAGTATGTTGTGTTTGTAGTGGTGGGGTTGATGGTGGCAGTGAATTTTGTGGGAATGATGGTGGCAGTGTATTTTGTGCGATTTGCATTTGATTTAATTTAGTTTTTTTTTTCATTGTTTGTGTGTGTAGATGGATGTTTCTCCAGACAGGACAAAGTATTGGCTGCCAACGTGTAGCGATGTTGTTCGGCCTTTTAGAGGACATCATGATAGCTGTAACTGCCCGTTCGTAATGTTGGATTAAATTAATAGTTCTTTATTATCATTTTTTGTATGTTCCAATCATCCATTCATCATTGGTGTGTTGAACTTGGCTGTTTTATAAATTTTAGATATGTGGTCGTTTGGTATGTTTCACATTGGAAAATAAATCTATATCCAACCTACATAGGAGCACTAAATTCTTTTGTGCATTGTGATCCTAATATGATGTGGTTTCCATTAATTAGCATATTCAAATTAGCAATATTGTGATTCTGCAATTTGTAGGAAACCCGACCGTAGATTTGTTTACTTTATTACTTTTGTTGGTTCAAATTAGCATATGCAAATTAGCAGTATTGTCATGGTGCAATTTGTAGGAAAACTCAGGTCGTGCATTTGTTAACTTCATTACTTTTAATACACATAAACATCGGAAACAAAACACGACATGCGTCCCTCACCACATATACGTTTTCTGGTGGTAGCATTCTAAACTGCTAATTGCAGGCCTCTCATGAATGCACATTAAGACAAGGGAAAATAAAATTTGATGCCATCAAATAATCACACACATGACTTTAACACAAATGCACACCACGAATACTGGCGTACTGCCCCTTTAGTATTGCACACTTAAGCCTACTATTAATTTTCTAAACAAGCATATTTACAGAAAATATTTATTCATAATTGCACACTTCAACTTACAACCTGTACGCCCACGGATGCACACTTTTCACACCACAAATGCGCACAAACTACTACTGTCAGCTCTACAAATCGTCATTGGTGTTAGAGCCCGTCGTTCTCTCTACAGGTTGCTTCTTGGATTTCTAGTTCTTTGCTGCAAATGATTATTATTAGAAAATGGAAAAAAAAAAAAAAAAAAAAAAAAAAAAAAAAAAAAAAAAAAAAAACATCAAGAAAATATATTTCACAGTTGGCCTTTTGGTAACGTACAAAAGACAGCCCGAGATACCTAACATGCAAACAATTACAGTAATATGCTTGCTTCAAAAAGTTTCAGATATACAATTTTTGGCACATTAAAATTCACAAAAATGCACATGAAACGTGGATATGGACTGTGTTTTTCTAATGACCTATAGCCCTATAGGCCTCAGTACAACAGCCAGACAGACATATCAGATGCACACACTAACAATAAACTGCCGGGAAGACGAAGCTAGTGATTGGCCTCTAATTTGGAACAATAAAAGTCTTAAATAACTGCACAGAAAAATATACGACATATGCACATACACAAACACTTAACAATCACATACATTACCCCTACAACACACACTAAACCACAATTACCATTACAAAAAACACGCAATTCTCCCTTCATTTACACACACTAAAAACGCAATTCTCCCTTCATTTACACACACTAAACACGCAATTCTCCACATGTCTGGTTCGGTTAACGAGACCTGACTGAAGTTATTTGTAATTCAATTTTTTATAATATTAAGATTAGTATTAGTATACAAAATTTATATATTTAGAAACTACACTAAAAGTACTATTAAACACAAAAAATCAAATTAAAAAATAAGTTAAAAATACTAAAGAAAGTAAACGAACAAAAAACAAATAGTTAATTTGACCAATGAATAGTAAATAGGACAGATAAAATGGGATAGAGGGAGTAATATTTTAAAACAAAATAAATCTTTATGAACCAAATTCAAATAGACTCCGACAAATGCATTCTGATCTATTTTAGAACTTTCAAAGGTGATGGAAGTATGTAATTTCTTTTTCTTTTTCGATCAAAGGAAGAGTGGAAACCTCAAAAAGAAAGAAAATCATGTAATAACACTTCTGAGCTGATCCACGCAAAGATGATCCTCTAGAAGAATTTGATGCTAGGAAAGTACTCTAAGACCATTTAGTGAAAAATAGGTGTTTGACAATTGCCAGGAAATCCACAATCCTATTTTACTCTCTATAAAACTGAAACAAACGAGTATTCCACTATTGATCCAACATATCTAGCCTTACAAGCAATTAATTAATTAGCAAATTCGCAACTGGACCCAATTGGCGAGTGCAAATGAATGGCATTTTTTTTACTATGTTATAATAATAATTTGAGAATATTTGCTTATTAGAGTCTAGACTTAAAGTTTCAAAGTTTTGTGCAATTAAATAGTCTCTATGCCACGCAAAAGAGGGGATTAGAATTGAAGCAATATGGTGTATGCTAAAACTTTTCATGTACATGTCTTTGCATTTTCTTCTATTGCATTCTACACAATTCATCTTGGAGGAATGATGCCATTCTGTCATTATTGAAAATAAAAATTCTTATATTTTTATAGAGCACAATAAAATAGCTTCATTCCCTTTGGCATATTTGTAGATAACTAGCTAGCAACATAAGATTAATTCAAAACCAAAAAAAGGTTGTGTGCTAGAAGATTCAACTAGTATGGATACTCAAGCTAACCATTAGAACATTACATAATATTGAACTTAAAGAGTGAATCAAGGGGATGCATAATTCAATTCAACAAAAATATAATACGATGCTTATCTGTAAACGATTTTTGCTTTCTTTGATGCACGAGGAAAATGTAAAAGCTTTTGCATGATTTTAAACTCCTCATTGGGATCAGACTTCATCCGACGAATAATGACAACCTTCTCAAGTGCGGGAAAGCAAGCAAGTAGCATCTTGATGAATTGCAATTCAGACCTCGACCCATTGAATGATCTAAGCTTGAAAGTGTGAAGCATTTTAAGCATTTTAGCCGCACTTTGAACTCCCTCCCAAAGTATAGATTTAGTGAATTCTCCATAAAACTTCAAAAAAAAAAAAAAAAAAAAAAAAAAAAAGCCTCAATCAATTCATCTTTTACACTAGTATAACATTGTAATAAGTAATGCGAAACAATAATAGAACAACTAGAATTTCATTAAATAATTTATCAATGAAAATGAAGATTACCAATACAGTCGTTATATCGAGCTCGCGTAATTTTGGGCATATTCGTAATGAATGAATAAAATCAGAAAAGCGTTCATCATCTTGAAAATCGACATATGATAATTCCAGGCATTCCACATTTAGTTTTGGTCCCCATCTAGTAAGTTCGCTGACGACAAAAGGCTTGGAAATAAAAAAAAGATATAAAAATGGATTAGTTCCTGAAATATATTTCAAATAAATAATAGTCCGAAAAAAAAAAAAAAAAAAAAAAAAAAAAAAAAAAAAAAAGATGAAGATGTACTGTGGCAAATATACCGTGAAATTAAAATCCATACAAAGAGTATGAATAAATGACAAGTCCAAGTTAATCGGAAGAATAGGATCGTAAACGTTGGTATCGTCGTCAATGTAATAATTCTTGACTGTTAAACTGTCGAGCCTTGGAGCCTTAATGTCGAAATATGATGTAGTATTTTCACATCGGCTAAATAAGAGAGTCTCAAGCATAGGAACATCTAAAACAGAATCTAGATTAATAGCACCAAAGACAACACCGTCAAAACTAAGTGAAGTGACATTCGGAAAAATGCAAGGGGCATTTATTGTTGGTGCAACTAATACTCCGCTGAGATCCAACCTCTTGAGAGTTAAGCAAGTAAATATGCAATTTGGGAGCCTGAAGCATTTATTTGGTTCAAAATTTATTGGAATTGGGAAAGCAATGCTCATTTCTTCAACACCTTTTTGAGTGATAAAAAGGAACCATTGATCGAAGTCAAACTTCCGAGAATTAGGCCCGTCACCGATGATTGATATGTCACCCTTAAAATCCAAGACAAATTTGTGAATAGGTCCATGGTGCCGCATGAGAACTTTGTCGATTACATACATACAGGTTGATGTGCTATTATAACTGGCAGAATATTTTTTCCCAACATAAGCAAAGAAGTGATCATCGAAGTTAAGTTGGGTGAGATTGGACCAACAATCTCTCCAAATGGTAGACAAAATGGCAATTCTAGCAGCTTCTACGATCGGCAATAATCTCAAAATATTGTCAAGTATTTCTGTAGGAAGTTGACTGATTCTGTCTCTCCCCGACATCATTTACATAACTTCAACATATGCAATTTAAAGAAGAAACAAATTAAAATTAGAACAAAATCCTAAAATGTGTACTTGGTGATAGTAATTAAATTGGAATACAAAAGGATTAGGGCACCCAATTGCAGAGTAGAAAACACAAAAAAATCATATATCAAAATCAGTTTATTCAATTTCAATCGCACTATGAACATCTATTGAACATTAATCCCTAAAGATTATATCACAGTATGAAGTTAAGTGTCTGGGATTGAAAGGAAAGGCAGAAGAATATATACATACACATAGGGGAAAGCAGCAGATTTGGTTTGAGAAGAAGCTGTGATCGGAACAGTGAAACGGAGAGAGGCGGCAATATCGAAATCGGTTTATTCAATTTCAATAGCACTATATATGAACATCTATTGAACATTAATGCCTAAAGATTCAAAGAATTCAGTATATGACAGTATGAAGTTAGTGTCTGGGATTGAAAGGAAAGGCGGAAGAATGTATACATACACACAGGGGAACGCAGCACATATAATATCAATAATCCTCCCCCACATAATTAAACCAGCAAAAAGAAAGAAGAGGAAATCCCAATAGTGTAAATAATAAAGAATCAATTGAAAACTCACATTGAAGGCAGTAAAAGCAACCTTGTGAGCTGAGAAATTACAGAGAGAATGAAATTCTGCCACTCAAAGCCTCCCTTTGTGAAATTCCTCAGGGCTCAAAGGCTGAATCCGTTGCCCGGTCGCCAACAAATTCGACAATACAAATATCCAGGCATTAAACAACTTGTGAATTTGTGATTGCAGATTACCACAGTTTATATAGAACCCTAAATCCCTAATTTTGCTAATTTGCGAATGCTCAAATTTAATACCTCAATTTTTAGCCTGATGTGCGGCGCCAACAGCTACTCTTGAGAATCCAAAGTCCAAACCTTCGCTATGGCTGGGCAGTGTAGGCGAGACAGTGAGAAAGCTGCGTCGTTGAGTTTGCACTTCCGGGCTCGGACTTCGACTTTGAAGAACTTAGAAAATGGAATTTTTTTTTAATATTTTATATACTAGTATTTGACCCTGCGATATATTGTAAAAATATTTTTTACATTATTAATAAATATAGTATTATCTATTAATTATAACTTATAACCAATGAGATTTTTATTATAATTTCATATTAAAACTTATATAAATGAACTTAATATAGTATTATTTATTAGTAATAAGCTAAGTATAACAAATTTTATAAAACTCATTATATAAAATAAATGAATTGCGGGGTCCTATCTATAAATGTGTAATTTATTTGACAATATTACATTGTTATATCAAATTATAACAATCAAAAGTTAGTGTAAAATTATATTAGAAATACCTAAAATACTTGTAGATAACTTTAATACATATTCTATTTCTTTTATATATATATAATGAAGATATTCTTTAATCAATATATGATGTTTAGATATCCACAAAAAGAAATAAATAAATAAATAAATATATATATATATATATATAATCCTATCCTATATATAAAAAAGCCCAACAGATTTGGCTGAATTCTCCCGCCCATGATTTTAGAATATAATTTGGAATTATTTTTGTACTATTTTATAGTTTTTTGAAACGGCACTGTATATGTTTTTTTTTTTTTAAGTTAGTAGAGAGAAGTTAATGTGCTGCAATCAGAACCGTATCCTTTCAGGCCAAAATTTTAGGGGAGTGGGTCAGATTTGTAGGGGAGTGGGCTATTACCTGATAGGAAACGTGTAGTTGTAAGCAACTAGGTATGGGAGTGGCCTACTGCGCTGTTGGCAGAGTGATTTTTTTTATTTATTTATGCAAGCTTGCGTGGCTATGATTATTAGAGTTTCACTACATCAGTTCCATGTTTATATATACATACATATTCAGAGACTTCACCCTCTGCAAACACAAAGCGGAAAAAAATTACAAGTTTGTGCAAAGAACGGAGACCATGTCTGGCCGTCTGGGCATCCTCAGCAAACCGCGAAGGCAATTAGGTTGCGCTGTGTGCGGAACCATGTTGTGACTGAAAGCAAAAGACAAAACACATCAGAAGTCAAGAGTGTGTGTTCCGAAATCAGGTGGTGTGTTAATGCTACATTATCATTTTTCTTTCTCTTTTGTTTGATTTTTACAAGCTATTTACGTTATTTTTGTTCTGTTTGTAATATAGGGTAGTTTAAGGACATTGTGCTATGTGTTTAGTGTTGTTTTTTATGGTTATGTTTTGAAGAATGCATTTGTTGCAGTTATTGTTAACCATTTCACTGTTTTTAAGGTTGTTTTTGGAAGCTTATGTTCGGGAAACTGCATTTGTTGTAGTAGCTAACCATTTCAAAGTTTTATGTAATGGTTGTTTTAATTTCAAGTAAGCTATTTATGATTTTATGGTGCTTTTTCCATGCAAATACACAGACATGTATCACTTAAATATATATTATTAATTTATTATTAAAGAAATCCTAATATAGGAACAAATTGGAAATACAAGTTGTAGCAGTCTGCACTTAGTTGTAGATACTATATTTATGGCCAAGTCTATGATTACATAAATTTCACATTGCAAGTATATTTATGGCCAAGTCTAGGATAAAGTAATAGATAAAAGTGCCAAGTTTTTCACTTACCTGTTGATAAAGATGGCAACATTTAGTTCCAACATCTTTTCTCCTACTACTAAGCTTTTTGTACTCAGTGCCAGTTACTGAAAAAGGAGAAAAGATTGAATATCATTAAAGAAATCAATTAAGAAACAAAAGTAAGAAAGTTAGACATGTTAAAAAGGTCCACTAGGGTGTGTTAATTTTCAAAAGGTTAACGAGAACATTTTGCAATATTGGACCAAGGCTGTGATGGATAAATTCAAAAATGGCTGATTTTGTTTCATGATGATTCAGAAAACAGACACATAAATGTATGAATCAAAATGGAGTTTGAAATTAGAGATAGGTAATTAACAAAATACATATATCAAACTGGGTTGAAAATGAAGTTTATAAGTTTTAATCAATATTCTAACTTAAATTTCAGCCATCTAATGAGATGTTGATGTAAGTGCCACCGTAAATTTAATGAAAACTCTGATATATACTTTAAAAAGTGGGTAATCAGATCACTTCTCGACTAAAGCCTTCCTCCTTCCCAACCGAAAAAGAAATAAAAACATGGAAAAAATATGCAATTGAAAGAAATTCAAATCATCAATAAATCTTGACTTTCATCATATTTGTATATTTAATTATACGAAGGTTACTTTATGTTCTATTTTCATTCTATTAATTTTATATTTAGTGTCACTAATTATCGATTGTTCTAAATCTTATTTCTTCAATTTTTTTTTATATTTCCTTTGCATTCTAATTGTATATGTTTTTCTGTTTTCTGTGATTTAATTTAATTTGAATTTAAAAGTGGGGTTCTTTAACCTACATAAATACTCATAATTATCAATTTATTTCACTGTTACAAATTTTGTAACTTATAGTTAGAATCTTAGATTTTTAAACTGAAATTTTTTGTTCTTGCCTAAACCTATATAGTAAATATGCAATTCTATTTTACAAATATGTGATCCACTGTTTTGATTAGTTTTTTTTTTTTTTTTTTTTTTTTTTTTTTTTTTTTTTTTTTTTTTTTTTTTTAACATTTTCTGTGTGTATATATAGTTTTAATGTTGAGGTAATAAAAAAAAAAAACCAAATAAACTGACTGCCAATTTTATAGAAAAAAAAAAAACTTTTTACATTATATTTGACATCAATTTTGTGAAGGTTAAAATTCAAATTCAATTTTCCAGAGAAATTATTGGACCAGAGATTTAAAACCCTAATACCGAAAAAACCTAAATAAAAAAAAACAAATTTCCGGACACAAAAATAAACGAATGAAACTAAGAAGGGTGTATTCAATCATGACTTTCATAGAGTTTTAAAGACTTTTATGAACTTTAAAAGTTTGGGGATATTCAATTCAAACTTTTAGAGAGTCTTTAAAAGTCAGGTGATATTCAATCAAGATTTTTAAAGAGTCTTTAAAAGTCGTGTGGTATTCGATTAAGACTTTTAGAGAGTCTTTAAAAGTCATGTGGTATTCAAAAAGTTATGAACTTTTGTAGGCTTTTTAATTTTAAGATTTTTGTAGACTTTTCCTTCTCAAATATAAATAGTTAAAATCCAACCAACAACCCCAAGATTTCAAAATTTTCTTTCTAACAACTTTGAATGTTTTCTCTCTATTTAAACTCTGTTCTGCTCCCTATTTAAACTTTATAAACCTATCTAAATTTAATAAAATTAATTTTTCCTTCATTATCCCATATTTTCCTCATATCTAAAACTCTACCAATTTATTTTCTCTCTCCTAAACTTTACAATCTTCCTCTAAAAATTTGAAATAATATAATTTTTACTTCATTATTGCATGTTTATATTGATTTTTATTTTTTTCAATTAATTTTTATCCCTAACTTTCTCTAATTCTCCCTAAATACATGAACAAAGCAAATTTTTCATCATCAAATTTTAGTATATGTTTCATAATATTCATATAAATACTTATATATTTTGATTTTTATTCTTTTTATGTTTATATTCGTAATATATATTTTTCCAATTTTTAACAAGTTACTACGAATAGCGAACTACTGTTCGCAACAACAATTTGAGGTTGCAAACAGTAGTACCTTCTTGTTGTTCGGGGTCTCTTATTGCAAATAATAGTTCTTTGCGTGATGCCTAGCAATCTATCAAGTATATATATATATATATATATATATATATATATATATATATATATATATATATATATATATATATATATATATATATATATATATGTTATAAATATTAAATTTTATTTTTTTTTTATTTTATGCAACTTGTAATTATATTTTTAAATATTTTATTTGATCAATTCTTTTATTATAAATTTTATTATTCAATATTGTTATGAATTTTAATGAAATAATTTTTTTTATGTTTATCAATAATATATATATAAGTAATTAGCATATAAGTCTCAATCTACATACTATGGAGATAAATAATAATATTGAGAATGTTGATGTGGGTGAAGAATTATATAATAAGAAAATTTTATGATATATTATAAATGTTTTGTAAGAAAATTATATAAATGATAAGAATCAAAATCATTGAAAGTTTGTAAGGATGTATTCAATTTAGAATTTCAATGACTTTTGTAGACTTTTTAAAATAAAAAGTTATAAAAGTATATGAATGTTTTTTATATAGACTTTTTTAGAGTCTTATAAAGTTTTAAAAAATTTTGAACGACTCTATGAAAGTCAATCAAAGTTTATTAAAATCTATCATTTTAAAAGTCTTTAAAACTCTACAAAAGTCATGATTGAATACACCCCCCTTAGTTTATATATATATATATATATATATATATATATATATATATATATATATATATATATATATATATATATATATATATATATATATATATATATATATATATATATATATATATATATATATATGTTTCGGATTAGGTGAGGACTTATCCTTGGACGTTAGGACTAATCTAGATCATCCATTTTGAGTGATCTAAAGGCTACGACAAAACAAAAACGCCCTGCCCAAAAAAGTGGAATGGATGCACAACAATCACACTATGAATGCACAACAAACTAACACAGAATGCACAACAAACTAAGAATGAAGGCACAATAAATTGAGTACAAATGCACAACAAAATGAGTACGGAAAATTAAATTCATTGCATATAATTAAATCACAGTAAATAAAAGAATCAGATTAGTCCTCACCTAAGGATAGGTCCTCAGCTGATCCAGAATATATATAGGCTTTGGATCTGGTGCACCCCCTCTAATAGATGAGACCATGAGGCCCACTAATACCCATTGATTAAATTCTCATCTATGGTTGAGATTAAAAGAAATAATGTCAGTTATTATCAATGTTAAGGTTATATTAGTAATTGTAAGCCTAATTTATTTAAGGACATAATTTTAATGGAATATGAAGCATTTTTTGATGCTTTTGAGGATGGAAATTAAAAGATTCTAATATTAAAAAGATTAAAGGAATTAATTAGCGTTAACAATGGTAGATGTGTGAAGGCTTCGCGGTTGATGGCAGGAGCAACAGTTTAGGACTTTCAGCAAATGGGTATTAGCATTACCGGTAAGTGCGTATACACCTCTAAGTCTGTGCATTTCCATTGTTTTTCCGAAATGGTTAAGAACTGAACCAGGTTGGGTGGTGGGCGATAGCTGAACATAAAAAATGGGCAGCGTAAAGGGACACCTGCCTGTGCGTACGTCGTCCTACCTAATAGGCAAGTTAGAAGGTGTCTGTGTTTTTGTCTTTTCTTTGGGTTGTTCCGGTAAGTGCATATACAATTTTACGTCTGTGCAAATTCAATGGTTTTGTAAAACGTTTGAAAACTTAACGAGGGTGGGGGGTGTTCGATACCCGTCTATCTAACGGCCTAATCGTAAAGATACATTGGCCCGTCCGTACGGCGTACTACCTAATAGACAAAATAAATTGTGTCCGTGGCTTTTTTTTTTTTTTTTTTTTTTTTTTTTTTGGGTTGTACCTGTCAATGCATAAACACCTTTATGTCTGTGCATCTTCTTGGTTATTTCGAATGGTTATTAATTGAGCGACTTTGGCAGCGTAAAGGGACACCTGCCTGTGCGTACACCGTCCTACCTAATAGGCAAGGTAGGAGGTGTCTGGGTTTTTGTCTTTTCTTTGGGTTGGTCCGGTAAGTGCATATACACTTTTGCGTCTGTGCAAATTCAATGGTTTTGTAAAACGTTTGAAAGTTTAACGAGGGTGGGGGGTGTTCGATACCCGTCTATCCAACGGCCTAAGCGTAAAGATACATTGGCCCGTCGTACGGCGTACTACCTAATAGTCAAAATAAACTGTGTTCGTGGCTTTGTTTTTTTTGGGTTGTACCATTCAGTGCATAAACACCTTTATGTCTGTGCATCTTCCTGGTTTTGACGTGCGTAGTCGTGTATTGGTATGTGCATATTACCAATAGGACCGTTACTAATATAGGCTTACCGTCATGCGACCCATCCATGCGTGAAAGCTTATACAACATATGCGTAGTGATTAGCATTCGTAACATGCATTTTTACACCATACATGTAACACGGACTGGATTTTTTAAAAAGTAAAAATGAAATTGACACCCGAGCAATTTAGAGAAGGCGTACAACAAGTCATGACTCAGAGTGAGGCCATAAAGAAATAATGTGTATTTTACAATATGGATGGGGGGAAAACTATCATGATGCTGATATGTCATAACTTCATCAACCTCATCCGGCACTTGAGAGGGGGGAATAAAACTTCATCAACCTCATCCGGCACAACATCCAAATCCGGGGCTGGTTGTGCGGGTTCACCAAAAACAGTAGCAACCTCAGCCTGAGGCAAAGGATCAACCACATTGGCAGCACCTACCGGCTCAGCAAAAAATAAGTAAATGAAGGCGCACCAACCCAACAACAGAAACGCACCAACCTAAATGAAAAATACAGGAAAATATAAATAATAGTGCCAATTAGCAACTAAACCACACCCTATCTTGCAAATGGTAAGACACTGCTACGCACAAACCACCACAACTTACAAGGCACACACCAAAAACCTCGACCAATAAACAAAAAACACGCACTAACCCAAAAACAGTGG